CTGACTTGTTTGAAATATTTCAGTCATCTGTCTAATATATTGGCCAGTTTGACGCGGTGGTTTAGAGCCCTCTTTCATTCGCAGAACCCGCCTTTTGTCTCTGTGTTAGGCCTTGGTTTGCATGTGAGTCCTGATTTGTTTATCAGGAAATGTGGTCTGTAGATATGAAGCTCACCTTTGGTTTTTGTCCTTAAATATGTGAGGACAGTGTGTGATAAGGACAGTCCATGTTCTTTGGGTTTAAGGTAATGAAACATAACGAGGACCATGATAAACCTTGGGTTAATTGAAACTCGAGCATTGGAATGTTTTCCTCCATAAATAATCCAGGACAATGTGAGAGTCTTTAGGTCAACATTTCTTCTGAAATATTGCCAAGTTTGTATCATTAAACCCATAAAGTCTGCAGAGAAACCTTAAACTGTTAGATTGTCAGCGTACACTTTGACGTGACGTACTCGCGTGTCGTTCCCAGTGTGAAAGTACAGGGAGTCTCTCGCTGCGGCAGGAAACCCAGGACTCCTTCACTTCTAATATTGTCCATTGACCTGCCTGGAATTCCCTGGTGAAATATTAGCATGTGCTCAGCACAGACAGCGGGTCATGAGCTCAGCTGTCTTTAACCACTGTCCCACAGACCAACACTACCACGCAGCCATCTTAGCAGGTGCACACTGCTTCCACCTGTCTGTGGTTACTGCGTTTACTTCTTTGTAGTAGGATTTAACCCTGGCTTTCACTGAAATGTGGTGTTTTATTTGTGACTGCCTTTTGGTTGACATTTACAAGGACAAACTGGTTCTGCAGATTCTGAGATCCAAAATATCAATGTTTTGATGCTTCAGTGTTGGACCTGTTTGCCACGAAGCAACACCCTGGTCACGACAAACGACATTTAGCTTCTGGTCAGAGCAGTGCTGTGAAGCTGCTGTGAGGTTCTGAACAACCCAAGAATCCTAAACACACAGCTGTTTGGAGGGTTGTCTGTCAGCAATATCACCTGCTGACATGCACAAAAAGAGGGATTTAAAACACAAAGCGCCCTCTGCTGGGGTGAGTGCTTACTACTTCAGATCATCTTTTTTGGGGTTTAGCTGATGTTTTTGAAGCCACTTGTTGGGGCTGCAGTAATACTACTTGCTAGCTTCCAAAAAACTACAAATCAAAGGGGCATTCTGAATAAAATAAATAAATAAAATATAATTGGCATTAACTAGGATATATTAGAAAGGTTTTGTTATTACTTTAGTGAAAATGTGACCTAATAAATCTCCATGACAAACCAGACCGTCATGAGCCACAGACCATGTGATGGTCAAAACAAGTTGCAGATTTTCTGATTGGGGGGAAAAGGGTGTGTGTTTGAACAAAACTTTGCCTGAGGATGTGTTCTCTTAGATTTTGCCCAAACCCAAAACAAATTACACTGTTTAAATGGCAGTTTCCTATATACTGTCTTTGGTTGGATCACTCTTTCACCATCCTGCATCAGACAAGGACTACATTGAGTTGTACTCAAATAAACTTTGCTGTGTTTGTGACTTGGATGATTGTGTAGCAGAGAAAACTGACTCAAAAGTCCAAACCGTCTTGAAACTTCAGGTTATAAAGACAGCAGTGGTTGATCAGTGATAAGTTCAGGGATTGTTTACATCAATAAACCATCTGTTCTCCTCTAAAAATAACCTAAAACCGTCGACAGAAGATGATTAGTACGTCATTTGAAATCCGTTCTCGTGATAATGAAATGATCTGTTGTTTTGCTGACCTCCCGTCTCCTCCTCCTCCTCCTGCAGTGGTGGATCTCCTCTACTGGCGAGATGTGAAGACCACAGGCGTGGTGTTTGGTGCCGCCCTGCTGCTGCTCCTCTCACTGTCGGTATGCAGCATCGTTAGCGTCTGCTCCTACATCGGCCTGGCTCTGCTGTCAGTCACCATCTGTTTCAGGATATACAAAGGCATCCTGCAGGCCATCCAGAAGTCTGATGAAGGACATCCGTTCAAGTGAGTCCAGGAGACGGGTCTCCAGTCTGCAGCTTGGGAAACAGAGGGAAAACAAAACCCAGAAATGATGATGGTCTCAATGTCAGATTGTGATGTGACCTGTTTTTCTTGCCGGTTCTCTCAGGCAGTACCTTGACAAGGACGTGGCGTTGTCTGAGGATGCGGTCCACAAGTACAGTGACATGGCTCTGGGCAAACTCAACAAGATTATCCTGGAGCTCAGACACCTCTTCCTGGTAGAGGACCTGGTGGACTCCATCAAGGTAAGAACAAGAACTGACACGACCAGAGTCCACAGAGAAAACACAGGTTCTGAGATGCACAACAATAAATGAGGTTGTCGTAGGAAAGAAGAAGTCGTGTGGCTGAAATGTCCTGACCTCTCCTCCTGTTTGAATAAAACGTTTCTCTCTGTTAGAGCGAGTGTGCTGACATTAAACGGTGACCTTTGGCCTTTGACACAGGTCACAGAACACTGTGGTTGTTGGTGTAGATCGGTGACACTGAGACAGCGTTCACAACTCTGCAGCTGTCGACCGCCTGTCGTCACCTTTGACCTGCAGTCCAAATACAGATCTGAACGTTCAGAGATCTGACAGCTGTTGGCTTGGATTTGATCGGGTTATTTCTACCCCTTAAAAAAATGACGCATTTTACCGTCAGAAAATACAATTTTAAACCTAACATTGGAAAAAGGTTCAGTTTAACAAAGCCATTTAAACAGGTTACTGGCTGCGTCTGGATTTTTATTCTCTGGAGTTGGAGTTTGCTTTTTTGTTATTATCCTTTCTTTTACACATTTTCAAGTCTGTCTTTATTCCAGAAAAAATATTAAACCCAAAATTCAGACTTTGAATTGTTTGTTGTACAGTTTGCCATCTTGATGTGGCTGCTGACCTACGTCGGTGCTTTGTTCAACGGTCTCACTATCGTCATCCTGGGTGAGTAGCAACCTTTATTGTCTAAGGTTTAGGTTTTTATTTTTACAGAATTGTAAAGAGAGTACCTTTAGATTATGTTGTAATTTCTTTATGTGCTCCACCTACTGGTCGAATCAAGGTATCGCACATCTGAATTTCACTTGACATCAGCTTCAGTCATGACTTGTTTAAGAAAAGATTTAAGTCATGTTGTCTCTTCCTATTTACATTATCATTACAGTGATAAAATAAAAATCTGAAATATTTTGTTTCTTTGGTATTTAATAAAGTGTAACTGACTTTTTCCCCCCTTTTTTTTCCAGCTGTGATTGGACTTTTCAGCTGCCCGATCATCTATGAAAAACACCAGGTAAACTCTACAGGTTCTACCCTGCAGCACTTCACTGGGTCGTACACGTGCACAGTTTTTACCAAAAATGTAAACTGGATTTCACTTTTTTTCTTCCTTGTTCTTGTATTTGAACGTTATGTTTTACTGTTATATTTGATGATACTTTTGAATTTGTAATTTGCTGTTGTCGTCATTCATTGTGACATTGTTTGGTGTGTTGTGTCACAGTATTATAAAGGGTTCTCTCTGTCTTTCAGACTCAGATCGATCACTATGTCGGGCTGGTCAACAATCAGATCAAAGATGTCGTTGGAAAGTAAGAATGTCTCAGATTTGAGTCAAATATTGTACAAAACTGCTCTGATGTTGTTCTAATTAATCAAAGTTTGTTATTTTGAATATTCATTTCATCTTTTTGATAGTGAATTACATTGAGAATTGTTTAAATTTGACCTGGAATAAATGTCTTTTCCCTCCAGGATCCAGGCGAAGGTTCCTGGGATGAAACGCAAAACGGAGTGAAGTCATGACAAGTAGCAGAGTTTGGATTCAGGAAGTCCTGAGCAAGATGGTTGTGGGATTAGGGGGCGGGGCTTATGAAGGAAGGTGGGAAGATGAGGAGGAGGAGGAGGGGTTTGGCGAGGAGGCAGCCCTTCTTTCTTTAGTTGTCAAGAAATAATAAAAAACACACAAAAACACACTTTTGTTCCAACAGAATTCCTCTTGTTGTGTTTCCTGGTTCACGTTGTTGGTGATGTCACACATTTCCCCTCCCCCTTTTATTTAAATTTTCAGGTATTCAAATGTTTATTTCAGTGAGGAAAGAAACACATTTAAATATGGATCAAAACCTCTGCATGGAGGCAGTTGAAATACTTCAGGTGGTTTTTACATGGTTTATTTTTTTCAGTTTGTTTCTTGTATTTACTGCGTGGGGAGATGACCGTAAGCAGCGGACGACACTTAATCCTGTCCTACAAACTTTCCTAGATTTTTAATTTTTACCATCGTGTCCTCAGACCTGGAGCTGTCGTCCTTAAAAACCAGCTGCGACTGCTGCAGCCTGATGAAGATTTTCTGTGACGGATGATGGCGGCGTCTCTGACTCCTGACGAGGCAGCATGGGGGAGGGGCAGAACGGGGCGGGGCGAGGGATAATGTAACCATTATTATTATAAACAAAAACACGTCATCATCGCTTCAGCCTTTAGCTACGAACATAGGAAAACTTTACTGGACGAAAACATGATTATCACATCATTCAAAGTTATTTCCATGTCATCGCAGTTGTTGTCGTGATAAGGGAAATCTCGTTTACGGTCATCCATATTAGAAAAATAAAAAATAGGAAAAAAAAAGAAACAGGATTTAAAAAATAAAAAAAGCATACTGTCTGTGGAGCCGAGTATACCGTTAATACCGTTGCCACTCGATGTGATTTTGGGAAAAAACTTCCTTTGTTATGCAAAAGTCTTTGTGAATGAAAAACTTCATACTTCAGTTGTGACGATAAAAAGCTTCCTGTCGGGGGCCGTGTTTGTGGAATGCATTGTGAGATGTAAACAATTATCAATAAAGCTTCTAGAAGAAGAAAACTTGCCTCTTGGTTTGTATCAGGGTTAGAGTTAGTTAAGTAATTTGGCTTAAATACCAAATGTCATAAAGTCATAAGCAGTAGACAGGCACCAGGTTGTTTAGGTAATAAAAACAAATTGAAAGTGCTCTTTTGTTATACAATATTTTTTATTTTCCAGGTTAAATGTGAGCAACAAAATCTGAAGACATGAAATTTGAAATTTAAATTCCCAGCCATTGTTGTCCAGCGGCAGCTGATGGTTGTGTGACATCAGTAGTTGAAGAGGACGTCGTTCATGCAGATATCAGGTCGCAGACTCTCCACTGTGCAGTCCGCCTTTTTCATGTCACACAGGCCGCAGTGGCAGCTCAGAGCCACCGGGTACGTGATGGTGGGGTCCACACCGGGGGGGCAGTCGGGGAGTTCAAATGTCTTGTAGTGCACGTGTTCATATGTGCACACCTGCTGGAACACGTTGAAGGGTGACTGAAACGACGGCATCTTGTACAACGGCACCTTGATGTTTGGTTCCTAGGATGAACAACAGAACAAAGACGATTGGTCAACCTCCAGTGTCTGAGGTGGACGCTGTTTATTTATCCACTAGGAGTACTAGTATAAAACTTATATAAAACTGAGCTTGAACTCTATTTCCCAGAATACCTTTGTTCTGCAGTGGCCACTGCAAATGGTGGTTTCCACTGAGTGACAGATGGGACATCCTTCTTTCTCCAGAGACACCGTCTGATTAATCAGCTGACAGCCAGGCAGCATGAAGGCCGCTGCTCAAACAGGAAGTTCACATGTCAGTTAGAGTTACCTGGAAGAGAGCTGCTGCTACAGAAATGATCTGGAGGACGGCAGTCCGGACTTTGGGAAGGTTGTCATGTCCCTAATTAAAATCTACAGAGTGTCAGTCACTTTACCTGCAGGAGTGAGCAACCAATCAGGTGAAGATGCTGGTAATAACAGCGTTAGTGTCAGGTGGACGATCAACCTATGCATCTGCACTGCAACCAACATCCTGTAGGGGGCTACGTAGAGTGAACGAAAATCATTTATAATACAATAATTGACAGGGACCGTTTTATGAACTTTATTTTTTATATTTAGCTTAAATTAATCACATTAAATACAACTGTTATAGTCGGTATACACGACTACATGAGTGACTCACCTGTGTGGTGCCGGTAGAGTTGTGTTCAAGTCCGCCTCACGCCCAGCCTTTATAGGCTCATCGTTGTGGACGACATTTCCCTTTTAACCTGATTACGGGCTTCATTGTTTTTGATTTTCTGTTCCTGCTGGGATTAAAGTATCTTTTCTGACACTCACATCCTGTTCCTCTCTACGGATTCGATGTCTGTTCCTGGGACACGGTGACAATTTGACCCGACGAAACCTTTCATCTACTGAAATAATACATGTAAATGCATGTTAAAGCTTATTAAGAGAAGCGTATTCTGTTAGGTAAAAAAAAAAAAAAAAAGAATAGCTAATACGGCCACCTGCATCTGCTACATGGAGAAGCGGTATCGCGTCATCGCTGTAGGTAAGTACAATATATTTAGAAATTAAATTAAAACTGAAACGGTATTTTTTTTTTATGGCAGCAAAGTCATCATCAGATAATCATTTTAGATGTTGTCCGTGAGACTGCCACATATATCCTTCCTCACATCGTGACCACTTAACATGTGATGTTTCCATTATTGACTATGAATATTTTGCGGCTATTTCTCACCTGTCCCATATGGTCTAGCGGTTAGGATTCCTGGTTTTCACCCAGGCGGCCCGGGTTCGACTCCCGGTATGGGAACAGAAATTTTACATGTTCACGGTCGCTAGTTAAACACTCGATACGATGTTTCTCCGCAGCTGCTTCTTGTTTGTTACTAACAGAATCTCGTGTCTCCGGTGTCATTGAAAAAATCCAAACGAATAGACTGTCATCATCCCCGAATAACAACTTGAAGAAAATGCATTAAAACAAACATTAAAAGAAGACATTTTTATTCTTCGATTATTATTGTGACTTTCACCGATTTGTTTGGGTAAAACTTCAAGTCACTTTAAATACATGTTTAATTGTGTTTAAACTAATTTACATAAATTGGAATTAAAAAGCAAATCAAATTCGAACTTTTACTCAGCTGTTTAATGTGAGTAAATTAACAGTATGTGTTTTATGTATTTGTTCATTCATTTTCTATATTGTTTTGTTGGATGTTATATAATTACAATTTTTATATTTATAATTTTACACGAATAGAACATGGTTTTACATATTTAATACTTTTTAAAAAATTAATTGTTGTACAAATAACGTCGGAACCAAGGTTTCTCATTCTCTTTTCCGCATCGGTAAAAAACCCTGAACGGACCTAGTAGACAGTCACAGCGCATGCGCAGTGTTGAATGTGACTGAAGAAAATGTTTGTCACCGGTTTCAATGAACATGATGTGATGTTTCGTTTGTAATTTATATTCATATTAAAGGCTAACAGTTATCGCAGGCGAAAATGGCGGCAGAGGATGAGCAGAAAAAAGAAAAAGTGAGCAAATATGTTTCGTTTCATGTATGAAACGGGAAATAACATTCTAGGGGTAGACTGTAGATTCGAAAAGGTCACTGCGGAAGAAATGTATTTTTCTGTCTCTTTGTTACCTTCTGTGTAAGGCATTGGTTTAAAACGGCTAGTTATTATAAACAATGAGGTTAAATAAGGGTTAGGGTTAAATAAGCGGAACGTATAAGTTTAGTAGGAAAAATCATAGGTTGTGAAAGAGTGGTAATTGACTCCTTAGTTTTTGTAATTAATCAGTTAAGTTAAATTGCTTATTGTGATTTTATTTTTTTTACCGATTTTATTTTTTTTCACTGGGCTCCCAGGAAAGTATCTACGCAAGTTTAACTTGCCAGGACACCTTTAAACAGAGCTTAGCTTGATTTTTAAAAATGCAAAAAGGAGTTTTTTTTATCATATCTTTGGTTAAAATAAATACAATTTGTGATCGTCTGTACTTTAGAGTTTCAAGCTCCTGGGCATTCTGGACATCCAGAAGACTCCCTGTGCCAGAGAATCAATTCTTCATGGAGCTGGAGGCTGCGTAGCTGCCGGCCTGTTTCACTTCCTGGCCACCAGTAAGTTTTCAGAAAACAATAATTGTCTTTTGCTAGAAATATTTCCGTATGGGCAACTTGAAAGCTGTCGTTTGAATCGTGAACAGTCTCTATTGAAGTTATTGTATCGTCCTTGAATAGAGACGATGCTCTTCTGTCCACAGGTCGAGTGAGGAGATCGTTAGACGTTGGATGTGCAGGTTTTTTACTGACCACCCTCGGCTCCTGGTAGGTCTCCGTGAAAACCGGTTACTTCTCTGGAGGTTTATTTTCTGATGTTTATTTAAAAAATCGTATTTTCTTATATTAAATTAACTACCAGTTTTTATATATTTGTTAACAAGTCGTGTGTTATCTCTCTCTTCTGTCGCCTCCTGCAGGCTGTACTGCAGGATAAACAACGCTAAGATTCGTGTGCAGCAGAGGGCGCTCCAGGAAGGACTCAAGAACAAGATTTTATATGAAGGTACAGGGATGGATCCTTCTCGAACTCCTGACGCAGGAAAAGCATCTGGAGCGCCGTGACGTCAGAACCGGATCTCCAAGAACTAAACGTCAGACCAACGAGGACTGAACTGAACTGGCTGTGTGAAAGTAGAGACTTTTACAGACTCTGAATCTAAAAACTTTTTCTGTCTGTTGAACATCTCGTCTGTCAGGACAAATTACATCGAAGGAGCCCTCTAGCGTTTGGTCCAGGTACTGCAAACAGCTGGATCTGTGACTGGTTTTAAGATTATATTCTATAATAATAAATAGAATAATAAAAGAAATAAATACATAACCATTGTTTTCTACAGATATGTTTTTAAATTTTATATCTCGTTTGTTTTTTTACTTTTTTTAATTAAATGTAACTGTGAACCCTTTAAAAACAGGTGTTAAAAACGTTTTAGGTTAATTTCTGGGAGGGGTCTAGATTAGATTAATCTGGTTAAGACAATCATTGATCAGCTAATCACACGACAACCAATCAGTGCAATGAATCATCTGTTCATAAAGGATGGCCAGCTGTTCTTCAGCACCAGAATGGAGAAAGAAGGTGATTTCATGTAAGTTTGTTTTTGAAGTGGTCTTTCTTTATGGTTGGGACATTTTTGTTCAAGCAGTTGACCAGCTGGTGGCGTCTTATCTCCACCGACTAGATGATTTTAATTGCGTTTGCTCAGATCAAGTCTGAAACTCCATTTATATATAGGGAGACAGACAGACAGGTTGTAATCTTCAGCTGTGCTGCTGCAGACAGAGGAGGCGGAGTTTAGAAGGCGCTCAGTCTTATAATAGAAGTTTATCTGTGTGTCCGGGGATTACGGTTGATAACATCACATAGTGATACATGATGAGAGTGACACGTCGTCCACAGAGAAATACTGTGACACGATGTTTTTATTTATTCATAAATGGTGCGTGAAATAAAAGTTTATCAAAGACATAAATCAAAACTGTAAAAAAACACCCTTGAATGTAGAGATGAGGCAGTGATAGAAAGGTTTTAGAAATGCTGCGTAAAACTGCAGATGAATCCTATGTAAGTACTTTGTACATACGTGTAACTGGATAACTATACAAAGTCCAGTTTCAAAGTTAAAGAATTAAAAAAAAATCTGAATCCTAAAATATATTTAACTTTTACTATATATGGGACTGGAGCTAATGGCTATTAGCACAGTGAGTTCTAGACCTCAGATGAAATTTTTTTTTTAGTAAAAGCATCACTATGTTAAAGTGAGCAATACGTTACGTTAACTGCATGAAGTTAGCATAAAAATATGGATAATCAAAAAGGTAACTCCAAGTTACCGTGGAACTAGCTCAAAATCAGCTACATTTAAACGTATTTAGCACCTGAGAATTAGCCTAAAAATGTCAGTAAAAAGTTGCTGCTTAAACTTAATCAAAATACAATTAAAATGTTGAAAAATATTTAAAGCCAGCTAAGCATAACAAAAATAAACGAAGGTCGGCTAACAGCTAGCGACTGAATTTCATAGCAGTTATGAAAAAAAAACCATGTACTTCCTGAAAACCAGCTAAGGAGTGCTAACTAGTTAGCCAAAGTTGATGACGCTGATTCGATAAGACAATTAAAACTCTTTAAGAAGTTAGTCCCTCTACTGGTCAGACCTTCACACTGCCTTTAACATGAAGATTCTATCATGGGTTCCTGAGCCTCAGATTTCTCAGTCTGTACTTCCTGGTTCTGTTTCTTGGTTTTGATCCCGGTCTGAGTTTTGACGTTAAAAATGTCCCACGTCTCAGGGATGAAGCCTCTGTTGAAGAGCAACGACGCCATGTAGGAGAAGAACAAGATGGCCGCCACCGCCCACAGCATGCAGATGGTCCTGACGGGAGACTGCTGCACATAGATGCCGTTCACCAGAGTGCACCCTGGGAAATGGACAACAGGAGGGATCCCCAGTTGCGGCTCACCACTCAGAACCCTCAGCAGGATCCCGGACAAACAGCCCAGGACGGCGCCATAACCGTTGGAGACGCCGAAGAAGAGGACGCAGACGAGCTGCGGCAGCATCAGGGTGTAGGTGAGGTCTGAGCGCAGGATCCAGATCATCAGGACACTGTTGTCCAGGAAGGTCAGAGAGGTTCCAGCCAGGCCCACCACCACCACCGAGGCCCGGATCACCCACTGGATCTCCTGCTCCGAGGCCTGGAAGGAAAACATTTACTTTCACTGTGGTCAGAGTTTACTGACGGACGTGTGTTTGACTCCTGGTGTCTCCTCACCTGCGTCCTCAGGATGGTCTTATAAATGTTGGAGGTAAAGATGGACGCAGCCGACAGCAGGGCGGAGTCCGTGGATGACATCACAGCTGCAGCCACTGCACCGATGCCCACGATGGAGATGTAGGTGGGGGTGAGGTGCTGCAGGACGATGGGTAAGACCAGGCCTGTCTCACCCCGCTCAAACGGAGACGGAGATCCATAAGAGGTCAGGTTCCAGTCTTAGAGCGGGAAGGGAACGTGTCCTGGTGAGTTACTTTGAAATATCTTTGGTATTTTTCGGAGGTAAGTTTTCGTACTTGTCGAAGCTGCAGCTGCTCCCAGCAGGATGGGTGGGATTCCCATCAGGGGGACGATGACAGCAGCAGCGTAGCAACAAATTTTGGCAGTGGATGAGGAAGACGCAGACAGCGTCCTCTGGTGGAAGTTCTGAAGGCCCAGGTTGCCTAGTCCCTCGGAGATAAAAAACAAAAACAAAACTACAGTTAAACCAGAACCAGGATGACCAGCTGCAGGAGCTCATGGTCCTTACCAGCAGCAGGAAGTTATCGATCCACCGCCACGCTCTGTCTCCCTCCACGGCTCCGATCCACGGTGGCTGGAAGGTAAAATTTTTGGCTGTCTCTGTGATGTCCGTCACCGCAGGATTTATCAAGGCGAAGGGAACGCAAAGCCACTGAGAGGTAAACAAACCTTAAAGGTTAGCTTGATGCTAAGGCTACTGAAGCAGCAGGTGGCGCTGTGACTCACCAGACTGACAAAGATGAGGATGAGCTGGATGATGTCGGTGTAGGCCACGGAGTAGAGTCCACCCATCAGGGTGTAGGTGATCGCCACGGCTGCAGAGATCCAGATGCTGACAGTGTAGGACAAGTCCAGGATCACACTCATGGTCACGCCTGACACACACACACACACACACACACACACACACGTTAACAAACCTTGTTCTACTCAACCATTGCCCCCCTTAGGACATTTTATGAAACATCCCACAAAGGCAGGATTTTAATAGAATGTTCAGGATGAAGAAGGATCAGAGCAGACACGAGGAGGAAGAGGAGGAAGAGGAGGAAGAGGAAAGAATGAAGAACCGGTTCTCTGACCCTCATCATACTTGGTACTGTTTAGGGTTAGTGTAGAACTGAGAGTCAGCTGCTGTGAATCATGTTTCACAGAGAGCTTTGATCATCAGCTGCTACTGCGTCAGATGAATCTCACACACACACACACACACACACACACACTCACCTAAGCCTATCAGTGTTCCCGTCACCCACATGACCTCTGAGACCAGGCAGGCCAATGACAGAGCTGCTGTGGGAACTTTCCCGTACTTGACCTGGAAAGGATCCATCATGGTGACGTATTTGTTGTTCCTCATGGGTTCAGCGAAGAACAGACCACCTGAGGAAGAGACAGACGAAGAGCGGCCTGTGCGGTCACTTCAACAAGATGGTGGACACAGGTCAGAGGTGTGACCTCATCAGACTGACCCAGAAACTCAGGAAACACAGAGTGAAGCCACGAAGCTAAATGTTGTTGAAGCTACATCAGGATTTAAGAGGTTAAATGTGTCTTTCGTCATGTGATTTTCACACCATGACATGTGATTGTTTTTTTTCCTCTAATCCCACGTCGTATTCCATTTCTCCCAAATATTCCCAGGACCTTGAACTTGTCACAACTGCAATCGTGTCACTTTGTTGTTACAAAGAAGCTTTTCTTGTAAATCTGGTCTGGAGTTATCGATGCAGATCCTGTTTTTTCGGACTGTGTGACGTGGTTCATGAACCTCTCACCAATGATGAAACACATGGTGGCAGTGACCGGCATCACGGCCCAGAGCAGACCCAGGGACGGGTCGTACACGGCCTCCGTCGTCCCCACGATGAAGCCTCCTCCCACCCATGTAGCTGCAGCACACACACACACACACACACACACACACACACACTGTTACCTGATCAGATCAGAAACCAAACGCTAATGAAACTTTAACTGCCATTAAATATAGACAGGAAGTTGATCTGGATGGATTGGTTTTAGGTTTTGGTTTCATTGACTGTATTTAATTCAGCAGCATTTTTAGCCATTACTGCTACAGTAGATTTAAGCTAACCTTTAGCCATTTTATTAACATTTAGTATTTCCCCCACTAACTTATTGCTGTGTTTCATCTAGTTGTGTCTCCTTTGATGACTTTTAACTCTGGACTAAACTTTATCAAATTCGTTATCTGCTCTTTTTTGTTAGAGCAATTGACATACCATTTTAAAAACAAACAATAAAATAAACTTATATTTATAGATTATATATTAGAATAATCTAGAAATGACGAAACCGTTTTTGTGCAGAAACCTAAGAGTCAAACTGACGGAGAATGAAAAGGACGGAGGACGGTGACTCACCTGTCATGGTGAAGACACCGACCACCAGGTTGATGCCTCTGTTTCCCAGCAGAGCCATGTCTGTCCGGTCCCCGTCGCGGCTCTTCTCCGCCTCCCGCCGGGACTTGACTGAAGCCCAGATGCCGATGAAGAGAACCAGCAGGTAGAAGAGCATCATCACCGTCACACCAGCCACGTTTAGAGCCATGATGGAGTCGGACAAGTGAGTTTCCCAGTGAAGAGCTCCGACTTCAGGACTGTCTGATCTGAGCAACAACGCCGACACTGGACACAATCATCCGACACCTCCTCCTCCTCCTCTTCCTCTTCCTCCTCCTCATCTACCTCCTCCCTGCTGGTGAGGCTGCTACATGCTGAGCGAACGCACCGTAGTACGCATGCGTGTAGACCTGACCTCGATACATTAATGCATATTGACAAAAGGACCATAAATCTCCCGCCACCCGCTGCTTCTTTATGTCCGGCCGTGAGAAGCGGACTTTTGCCCCGGACTTGTTGCTCCATCTCCTGCGGTGCGTTTGTTACAGGTGACAGGAAGTTGACAATCGTTGTTAAACTGTGTCGCCTGTTTCTGTGAAGTTTAACTTAGTCTGTTGGTTGTTGTTGGTGTTTCGATAATGCTTCAAACTACATGTGGTTGGACGTCCTGGTTCTTTCTGTCAGACTGCTTCTGCTTCTGCTTCTGCTTCTGCTTCTGGTTCTGGTCCAACAAATGTTACCAATGTTTATGCAAATGTTTAGTTCCTGCATCAGGATGACATCACTCACTCAGAGGAAGATCAGGAAGTTGAAGGTGATGGAGCCTCATTCAAAGCAGTCAGCTGACAGCTGGAAGATAACACACACACACACACACACACACACACACACACACAGGTCCAGGCTTCATTAAACCTAAACCAACCTGGACTTGTGACGACACAAAGGCTCCGGAACATTCTGAAAAACATTAGCTCACATTCAGATATTCAAGCAGAAGAAGCTTCTAGAAAACAGTTCAGGTGAGTTGACTCTTCTGTTATTTCAAACCATGGTGAAGTGGTTGGTGCACTGCAGTACCTCCTTATGAAGATAGGGTCCCTGACATCAACACATTATTGGTTCAAAACCAAATCTTATTTAAAACATCGATTTAAACAAAACACTCGTTTTCACTGAACAAAGGAAATAAATAAAAAAAAAGAAAATATTAAAATGGAAATATGTATTTGCCCTTTGTACCTGAGCGCCCCCTGCTGGGGTTTAACTCCTACATTGGAAACCGTGACCTTACAGCAGTATGGGGTCAGTGACTTCCTGTGTGTATTTTCATTTTGGTTCTGATTTGTGATTCTGTTCCTGTGGACCAACCGCCCCTGCTGAAGAAGGAGGTTCTAATCTGAAGATGATAACGAGCTCGTCTGATTGGCTGAACACAGACACAGTTGTTACTCCTAACCCTGACCCCTGAATGGCTGACGCTCACACCGTGATGACCCGTGTTCCTGTCCTGGTGAACATCAGTACCAGCACCTCCTCCACCGCAGCACAGCTGGCCGCGGTCATCAACTGGCTGACCTTCGCTATCGGACTTCCTGCTCTTGGATTGGCTATTTATGCCCTCAGGAACCTGACCCACGGTGTGTGGACGCTCTGAGGACGTGGACCTACACCACTGTACAGTGTGTACATCGGCTGGTGACTCCATGAATGTTTTCGTCACGTCGTGTTTTTTATTTTCACTTATAAAACATGGAAACCTTTTGTGTCCCGTCTCACAGCTCCAATAATCCTGTTCTTCTGTCGTACAAGTGAGGGTCGAATTCCCGTCCACGTCCTGTTCCTCTTGGTGTCTGACATCATCAGCTTCTTCAGTCGTCCCAGTCTGGACCAGGATGTGGACTTCCTTGCTGCTCATCGCTCAGGAGCGTCACGTCTCCGTGGCCAATCCACGATGTCTGGGCTGCTGCGGTCGTGTCCGTCGGTCTCCCGTCGGTCTCCCGTCGTGGCTCTGGTGATGTGGGCCGCACCGTTGGCCGTGGTGGGCCTGAGTATTCTGAAGTTCACCTTCTGGTTCGCCGTGTCTCTGCTCGCTCCGTTCCCGTTGCTGCTCTTTTCTGCAGAGCCCTGCTGTGCTCTGCTGGATCCTCTCATCTACATCTTAAATAAATACGGAGCTGGAGAAGTCCTGCGAAGTCCTAGCTCTTCCCTGCTGTCAGAAACCGGAGCGGAGGCCGGAGAGCAGGGCAACCGTGGCGACCGTGGCTGAAACGGTGGAGACCAGGCTTTGAGGAGGACGCGTGTGTGAGCAGAGTAGGGACAACAAAATATTTGGCAGTGGTGGTTTGGCTTCAGGTTTGAGTCCACCAGCTGCCAAGTTACCAGTGCTGCCCCCTGCTGACTGTGGTGACGAGTCACCAAAGTGAGCTGTCACATTTCATTGTGTGCAGTAGTAGTTCACTTCAATTAGCTTTTTAATGTTTTACCCAGAATTCACCTCGATAAGTTCTTTATCTAACAGGATTGACCTGATCTCATCTACGTAAACCTGAAGATCTAAATTATTTCTGCTTTTTCAAACTAGTCCATGGTCTCAGATCGTTCAGAATCAAATCATAAATAAAATGGAAATAATGTAACGATGCAGTTTTTCTCTGTGGCCAACTGACCCACGGACCGGTGCCGACCCAGGGGTTGGGGACCACTGCTGTGTAGAACAGCAACTAAATGACTCGTCATAATCCTAGTGGGAATCAGATGCCTCTAGAAGGAGCCCCAGTGCCACCAGTTATACATGTACCATAGTTTGAGAACCACTAATATAGATCAAACTAAAACACCAATTACAAGGTTTAGTTTAGCTTAGCTTAGCTTTATTTCCAGCACAGACAGTGGTGTCCTGGTTCTCCTCTGCTCCTCTCCTTCAGTGTCAGTGTCGCCCTCTGGAGGTCGTGATCCACCAAAACATTGACAGGAGTTAAAATAAAACATTTCTGCCACAACTGACGTCACATGTGACTCGGCGCTCCACCAACCTGGGCCCCTCGATGTCGTCGATGGTCTCCGGCAGCCTGATGCCTCTGGTCTCTGGAAGCAGCAGAGCAGCCAGGCCTGCGGTGATGGCGATGGAGCAGAGAATGATCTGTGGGATTATGGATGGACTTAATACGGCTTTGAACTAGGAATGTCCAAGAACAACCTTTGGCTGATGTTGTGAACACAGTGGTGACCTGGTGGTTAAGGACAGGTGATGGGATAAAGCAGACAAATAAAAAGAGCTGCAATGCTGCCATCGAGTGACTTTCACTTTCCCCAAAACTATTTTTAGGCCATTTTTTTATTGGAGGAAAAAAACCCAATAACATCTTAACCCAATAATATCTTACAGATATTAATTAATTATGCTAATACTGTATCTGATAATATCGTCAACTGACATTATTGGCTCGATATTAGCATAATTATGTAATGCCATCCACACCTAGAATGAATCAGGTCAATATTCAGTGGATTCATCAGGGGGGTAGAGGCAGGTCATGGGGGGGTGACATCCTGACCTGACTGATTGAAACCTCCCTGCTTCCCTTCAGTTCACCCTTCCTTCCTGACACCAACCACATGGAGGACTCTACCACATCTAAACTCTGACGGAAAAGACGTAGCAGATCGTCCTACAGCAGAGCCAGAAGGTGTCCAACCTGAGGTAGAAGAGTCCAGACGTCGTCCAGCAGCAGGATGAGTGGAGCCACGGAGACTCCCAGACGACTCAGGAAGTTGGCGTAGCCCAGACCGTTCTGTCTGATGACATAAACAGGAAATGAGGTAATCAGATGAATGTGTGTGTGTGTGTGTGTGTGTGTCAAGAAGGTGGCCAGTATTTGAATCGGACCCAGGTGGGTTGGTGGGTGACTGGTGGTGACTGGATCGTCTGTGTGTGGGCGGGGCCACACGCTGTTTTTCTCTCCAGGTACCTGATGATTGGACCTGGACGTGCACCTGCAGACAATCCATTCATCACTGTGTGGAGTGTTTAAGGGAAGTCGGCGCCACGTTCACGTCAGTGGGGTAACTGACGACTAACTCTTTTTGTGTGTCTCTTTTACAGGTTTGTTTGTTTTTTCAAATACAAAAGTTAAAAAGTCAAACAAGAACTGAATCAATGTTGTTGAAAATTGTAAGAAAAAAAAAGTTACAAAAAGTGACATGCAACAATCGGGTGTTTCTTATCTAATGGTATTTGCTGAGTGAAGAGTCCACAGTTCGTACCACAAGATAAAAACCATCCTTTACTGCTCCATTATCAGCACAGACTCAGGTAAATATGTGACTTTACCAGAAAGTTCACGTTTGTCTTTAAACTGGTTCAAGGTCTGGGCTGAAGGCCGTCCGGCAGCACTGACACACTCGATGAACGCTGAACTAAAATGGAGCTTTTCCTTCTTCACCCGTTTGTATTTATCAGGTGTGACATCGGGTCCCTGCTCCCTCCTACCAGCCGCGACAGAAAGTGTGGCTGTCGGCTAGGGACATCGATCTTCGAAGGGAAAGTCGGACGTTGGCGTCGAGATTCGTTGGTCTTTGTGAAGTGGAGAAGCTGATCGGGCCGTCAGCTGTTGGCTCTTCCCTCAAGATCCATCCCATCTTTCATGTCTCGTTGGTGAAGCCAGTCCTTCCAGTGGGAATCCATAACAGAAAACCCAGGAAGTAGAGACGCAATAGTTATATTATTATTTACGTATATATTAACCCTTTTACGAACCCGTAAGGAGGCATCGTAGGGCGAGGAAAACGGCAAAAATCTCGTTTCCCTGTACGTACAGGTGATGTATGGGTTACAAATGTCTTTTAATTCATTTAATTTAATTTATTTTTATATATCTTATATCTTATATATATTTTATTTATAACTTTTCAATATATAGAAGGAGGAATATTGCATTTATATACCTCAGAGAAGCATTTAAAAATATCAGACCAAAACTGGTTTATCGTGGGACAATGACAGAAGAGTTCCCTCAGCTGATTTGCATTTGGAGCAGATTGGGGAAACAGATGGGAAGAAAGAATGAAGTTTAGTACACGATTAGTGCAACCTATGGATAACTTTAAACTGAATGAGTTGATGTCTAGAATCCAATGAGCATTTGTGAACATCAGCAAGGTAGTTGAGTGAAAGTAGCCAAAGTCTTATTGAGATAAAGGTCCCTGATGCTAATGATAGCCCTGTTTGGGCTTCAGTTAGGGTGTAGGTGGAGTGGGTGTAGGTGGAGATCCCAGGTCGGTTGAATGACTTTCTTACTTGATACCAGATTTTCAAAGAATTTGCAATTATGAAATTGTTCTTGGCAATGGATTCTAGGGGCTGTGGTGGAGAGAAGAGAAGGACAGGTGAGGAACTAACAGGAAGTCTTTGTTCAGTAACAAGCCATGATGGGGTGGAGTCAGCCATTTTACCTACTTAATTTTACCTACGTTTTTTTTTACTGTTTTTTTCTTCTTAGGTGAGAAAATACTTATTTTAATCATGAAAGTATTAAAAAGGAACTATCCCACAAAAACCTTCCATAGAGCGAAGACTTCCACAATACAAAAACAATTAACATTTGAAATGTTAAAAACCCTCAATTCAGTGAGGGACGACTGTATTCACATGTAGAATAATGTATGACAGGGTTAGGGTTAGGGCAGACCACCTCTGTGGGGTTTTGAACCACCAACCTCGAGGTGAAGGGGCAAATATTTCACACAGCTGGGGTAAATCTGAACTGTACATCCTTTCATCCTCTCTCATCCACAACCTAAAAACAGAGTGTGATCTGACAAATTTAAAATAATGATATTCAAAGAAGAAATCAGACCAACATGGACAGAGTGTGACCTTGGACAGAGTGTGACC